TATTTTGCTCATAAATCAGAAAAGATGTTGTTACACTAAAAATGCAATTGTGTTGTGTATTTTCACCACACATGTTCAAACCATCTTTTAACAGTGGAAGTCTCTGAGTGTCCAGCAGGGTTCAGGAAATAATTCTCATGCGGAGCTTTCTCTGTGTGTGTGTGTGTGTGTGTGTGTGTGTGTGTGTGTGTGTGTGTTAAATAAACCAGAACGAGTTTAGTTTGTGAAACTTTAAATAAAAATAAAATATATTTTTATCTTCAGCGTCAGTGGGTGGATTCCAGCTCACCACGTGACGTCAGCAGAGTAAAGATGGCGGACGGTGGGATGGAGGCTAACGTTAGCTTCGGGCGCTGCTGAAGTTCCGGGACTTTCGGAGTTTCAGAGTTATTCTGAACTTTGCGGTGAACATCGACAGTAATATTCCACACGTGGGGAACCCCCGCGTCACCGCGGCCGGAGTTTCCTGTTGAGTTTGTCCCGCAAAGGCCTCACTCATCCGGGCATTAGCCCGCAGTGTTAGCACGTTAGCACCGGAGCCTGCTTTTGTTTTTGTTCGCGCTGAGCTTCAGATCTGTTCCTCTCTTTGTTTCACTCGTTTCTTTAACCAACACGTGTTTGGTTTTAACCGGACCGAGCTTCTGATCACTTCACCTCCACAGGGTCGGATGTTTCTCAGCCCTGTTTTTCGTTAGAGGCTAACTCTGCTAACGAGCCACATTTATTTAAAAAAAACACCACAGACTTTTTTTTTTTTTTTTTTAGCTTCGGGTCTGTTTATGAACTTTACTTCCGGGGAAACATGGATCCAGCCCGCAAACCTCCAGCAACATGCGGCAGCGGAAGCAGCGGCGACTCCAGCCCCGCGTCGCCGTCCGGCAGCTCCGCGACGCCCGGGGGCAACGTGTTCGCTAACGACGGCAGCTTCATGGAGATGTTCAAGAAGAAGATGGAGGAGGAGGAGAGGAGGAAAAAAGAGACGCAGCAGCAGCAGCAGCAGCAAACAGCTGGAGACGCCAGAGCCTCAGAACATGGACAGACACCAGTGGACAAGAAGCCCCCTCCAGTGACGAGCTTTGTAAGGGGTTCTGCCAGTTGTAAGATGAGATAGATCCACATGCATCCAAACACAGAGCCACACTTCTCACACCCTAAAGTATGAGTCGTAGTCACACTTGCATTGTTGTACACTGTATATGTAACACACAGCAGATCAGTGAAGTCTAGGGATGCTCGTTGCTGATGATGGTTTCCCGGTGGACACACAATGTAGACCTTCTGCTCTGGTGTAGTCTCCTTCATTGGCTGCCCGCCTGCGAGAGCTCCTGTAACGGTTTCAGTCTTCTATCCCCTAACCCAGGTGGGGAAGCGCAGAGGCGGCGTGTTCCTTAAGACCGGCATGGTTGTGAAGAAGCAGAAACAGGACTCGGAGGTAAGGGGTTCTGTTGTCGGTGTCGGCGTGATCCGTGCGTTCTTGTGCTGACCCCGGTTGTTTCTTTTCCTCCAGGTTGTGCCGGGAAAGAGTGACGCCTGGTCAAAGTACATGGCCGAGGTGAAAAAGTACAAAGCCCACCAGTGCTGCGACGACGATAAAACCAGGCCTTTGGTCAAGTAGGCTCCACGGAGGTGGATGTGAAGCGACACTGCTGAGAGAGGGGGGGGGGGAGGACATCGCCTGGGAGAAGCCGGACACTCCCGACCCTCTCGTATTGACAGTTCAAGTGACCCTTCCCATCACGTCTTTCACAAACTGCTCATACTGACTCCCCCTTTTTTTTTTGTATATCGTTTTTGTGTCGCTTATTTGTTCGATGTCGGTGATTTGATCTGGTGTCAAAAGGTGCTTCGAAAACTTGAACTCTCGTGATTATTTCTTCAATCTTTTCCAATTTCTTGTTAGGTTTCGTTAGTGATTTGATTTTATGCCAAATCGATTAAATTCACATTGCCTATTCGTGTTCTGTCGTGTCTCAGTTCTGTCATCGTCAGGTTCCATCAGAGGAAACTTGGGTTTCATGATAAGTTTTTCATGTTGAATTGCAAACGATCGAGTCCGTGGTGAAAGCAAAGATTTTTAATCAAGTCGGTTTGAGTTCTATACAGAAAAGAATTCATTCAAGAATTCAAGTACAATGAAAAAGTTTACATCTTTCATTGGAGAGAAAAAAAAAAGAAGCTCAAATTCATCAATTTGCAGTTTACAATTCTTACAGGTATCAGTGATAATAACATTATGATAAAAACAGCACCAAATAGACACACTGACCATGCATCAGAGAGGGAGACGTACAAAGGCACGCGTTCAGCCCCACACACACATTCTGTCTCACGCACACTCGCACTAAAAACCCACTCACTCCTCCCTGTCCACAGTGATATAGGTCTATCTTGTAAACATTGACAAACAGCATTTGTCATTTCATTTAACAATTCTATGAAGAATAGTATTTAAAATTTATCAAACTGTTTAGAAAAGTTATAGTCAACTGTGGTATTCGTGAAAACTTAAGCTGATCTCAGATCAGGAGTCCCAAGTGAAGCCCAGTCCGTCCGTCACCCAGAGCCACGTCCCATCGTCCGTCCCAGCGTCGCTTCATTAGACAGCGTCTGCTGGGTGTAGGAATCCCGCTGCATCATCATAGAGTCTTCCTCTTAGTGTCTCCTCCCTGGCTTTGACTGACATCTGGACAGGAATAGTAAACTCAATAAAAGCAGTGACAGGAAAATAAAACTTAAAAAGAGAATTGAGGACAGCTGAAATGACTCCAGGGAAAGGCATGCTGCAACCGACAGACGAGCAGAGAACAGAGCGGGACCGGGCAGAAAAAAGGACAACCTAAGACAGAACACCTGAGGGGAAGGAAGGAGCGAGGGAGTAAAATGGAGCAGGCTTCGAGGGTGGAGGGAGGGTCAGATTTTACCTGAGAAAGCGAGCTGCAAGTGAGGAGGCACAGCAACCTGAGACCCTGACTGGAGACTCTTATACAGATCTGAGGAGACAGGACAGGGGGACGAGGAGGGAGAGGGCGGGAGGAACAGACAAATCAGGGAGGGGAGGAGGGGGAGACGTGGATAGAGATGGAAAGACAGATGGGGAAAGGACAGATGATGACAAAGCCAGAAGAAGTGTGAATAACAGAAAAGTGTCCAATACAGGGTTGAGAGAAATTTGGGGAAATGAAGCAAACAAAATGGAAAAATGTCAAACAGGAGAAAAATCACAAGCTTCCATCTGACGCACGATACGGTGATAAACACATGATGCTCTAACACGTAACACAGAACGAGGCCTGGACAAACAACAGCAGCCCGACGCACTGACAGTCACATACAGAGTCTGGTTCTGTTGAATCATCTGAAAGATAAACTGTTCTGAATAGATAGTTTGGTTATTAGCTATAATATTTCAACCATGTAGGGTAGACAAGATTTTACAACAATGCTATGTTCGTCTGTAGAAACCACAACGTATGATATCAATTGTGTTTTATTCACGATGTCAAGGAGAAATACTACACTACCCACAATCCTCAGGTGTAGTACCAACATCTCTAATTGGGCGAGCTCGCTGTTACCATGGTTCAGTTACTTTTACCACAGAACAGAAAGATTTGTTTTTCTCTCACAGGCTGCGGGTTTTTTTTTTTTAGAGACGAGAAATAACGAATAGAACAAGTTTAAACTCAAGCAGCAGCTGGAAGTCGTTGGTGCAGAATCTTTTGCAATGGTTTCTGGGATGCAGTTTCTTCATTCTTTAAATATTTATACACACAGTCTCGTACCTTTGCCTTTTGTTTTGCTCTGAATCAAATGTTTTCTGGTCTTGATTTATTTAGCAGCCGGTCGGTTCCAGGCTTTAAACTCTGAGATGAGAGGTTTGTTTCGCTCACTATTTGGACTAAATGTAATAAAGCGTGTCACCAATTTTAAATCTGCCTGTCGTGCACAGTGTGAAATCTAAATGTGTCTGTCCTGCGTTCATCACTCACTCTGGGTCAGGGTAGAGAATGATGCATTGCTACTGGCCGCGGAGCCGCCGGCTGCCGTACTGGAGCCTGCCGTTCCCAGCGGAGGCAGGTTTAGCAGCGAGGGGAACTGGAAGGGCAGGGACACGGGCACCAGGCCCCCCAGCATCCCGTACCCCAGGGTAAGAGACTGGGCTGAGCTGAGCAGACTGCCGGTTCCTGCTGTGGAGACCTGGACACAAACGAGATTCAGATCTTAAGAACTTTGTTGCAAGTTTTGGAAATCTACTTTCCTCCAGACCTTCTCCCATTTCTGTAAAATAAAGATTTTTACTACAAGAATTATTACGACTGATCCATTATGATTCACAGGTTTGTAGAGGGGACTCATTTTGAAAACTTTATCTTTTGTGTCAGAGTTTAACCTGTAAACATGAAGGTTTCACTCAAAGCCCAGAGTTAATTTAGTCTTAAATGACGTCACAACTGAACAATGATCTAGGGAATGTTCAGCACTTTGGCTTGAAAGATTAATCAAATAATCAAAATAATCGCTGCTTCATTTTTGCTGTTTCAACTATTTGAGTAACAGATTCATCTTAAACAGTAAACTAGAGAGATACTCTGGACCCTGTTTTATAGACACTGTCCAGAGTTCATGTTACGCTCCAGTGCTCAGCTGAGGAAACCAAATTAATTAGTTAGTAAATGTGTTGAAGTTACAGAGAAACGCCGACTTGTCTGGAACTGAATCAAAAACCACGAGCAAAGATGTTTGCTGAGCTTCTGACCTCAAACAGTAACATTGTTTTCCTTCTCAATCCAACTCTGTGTTCTGGAGATGGATCGTAACAAACCTGCCGTGCGTGTAAATGTGCTAAATAATGATGCTGACGGTACAAACCTGTGGCAACTGAGAGGAGATGGATGACGATGAAACAGACGCCACAGACTTGACCCCCTGAGGTGTCGCACCCCCGGGCCTCTGACGCTGGCCTGGGTTGGCAGAGGCCACCGTGGGGGAGGCACTGGACCCTGAATGCTTGCTTATGGATGACGTGTTAATAAGGCTGATGTTGTTGGTGCTGTTGTTGGGGGTCTTCTGGCTGCCTGGAGGAGTGTAGCTGCCTTGCCCTGGCTTGGTTGCTCCTCCTTTGGCACCTGAGAACTGCGGGCGGAACCCTGCTGGGGTTTGGGGGGAGTACTGGTGTATGGTGGGGGTTGCCTGAGACCTGGGGTTTTGGGAGATGGAGAGCGAGGCTGAGGTGGTGACGATGGGGTTGCGGGGAGTGAGTTTGACAATGGGTGGGATACTGCTGTGTGTGGATTTGGTGAGCGTGGCGTGCATAGGGGTGATAAAGTTAGACTGTGGCTGGGGCTGAACACCAGACAGCGTCTGCACGAGGGAGGGGGAGGATTTACTCTGCGGGGTGTGGGGCAGACGAGGCGCCTGGAAGGTTTTGATGAGCGTGGGCGATGACAGGGTGTGTGGTCGAGACTGAGGCAATGTGAGGATTAGAGTGTCACCACTGTTGGCTTTATTATTATTGCTGCCTTTGAGGAGGCCAGACGGGGGAGTGGAGACCCCCGTCTTAGATCCCGGGGCCACGAGTGGAGATGCAGTGGGTGGGGGACGTGGTTTAGGCGGCGACGTTGAGGCAGACATGTTGGCTTTTGCTGCACCCAAAGGTCTCTGAGTGTTCAAAACTGAGTGTCTGTGCGCCTGCGCGATGCCCTTGACGACCCCCATCCCATCCACCCTCACGGAGGGCAGAGGAGAGGACGTGATGGAGGGAAGCCGCGACAGAGGGGTGGAGGAAGACGAAGAGGTAGAGATGTAGTGAGGTGCACTGGAGCTGGGAGTGCTGACAGAGTTCTTCTTCTGCTGCTGCTGCTGAAGGAGTGGTGAGTTGTGGAGGGAGGAAGGGTTGGCTGCAGTCCTGGGTCCGTCCGGGGATGGGGGGCTGTCCCCCTGGGCCAGGCCCTTGGCGGCGTTGCCGAGGATGGCGAGGGCCTGGGAGATGGAGTCCAGGGAGGGTGTTGTCAGATCGTCATCGAGACATATGGGCTCAGACGGTGACTGAGGTGGTCGCTTGGCAACCTGGGCTGCAGGTGAGGGAGTGGCGCCTGCTGACGGCGTGGGCCGAATCCAAACAGTCTCCTGGATTCAAGGAAAACACAAACATTACATTAACACAACGTTTCATAGCAGAACGAATGAAAACAGACTCTCACGGGTGAAACTTTAAAGAGTCCAACCTTTGGCTTGGCCTTTGGAGCAGTGACCATCTTCTTCTTTGCTCTGGAGTGAAAAGACGACAGAAGTGAGTGAGAACAAGCTAAAACATCAGAGTCGAGAAAACTGGTCAACGATAAGTTTGCATCAGACTCACGTGTAACCTGTGAGATGACCATGGGCCATGGTGCTCTCTTTGAACAGCATCCTGTCGACAAAAACAAACACGTTAATACGAGAAATAATCAAGTAGAGGAGTTTTACTACTCAGCGGAATTACCACACACACCTGGCCTGCATCCAACCCTTGGGCCAGAGAGGTTTCACTTCCGTCTCCATGAAGGCTTTGAGGTAATCCTCCAGAGACAACGTGTTCTTCCCCTCCAGCTCATAACAGCCCAGCTTCACCCGCACCAGGTTACACAGCAGTGACCTGGAAAACATACAGTCATCCCAAATACTCTGGTCAGTGTCAATATTAATAAACTTTATTTATACTGGACAAGTGCTTTACATGGCTGAGACAAGATTTAAACGTTTGAGGCAAATGATCAGGGAATACGATAATACAGAAATAACACAAAACAAAATAATAAAACAGGCAATACTACAAATTAAATAGTTCAATAAAAGTGATTTAAAGATGTCACTGATTTTATACGCTCCAGGAAACATGACTGCAGGCGTCTAGTTAACATTACACTTAACCCTGGTGGCAGCACACTCTCTACATGGCTCTGACAGCACGTTAGTTAGCTGATAGCTAACCATCGACACAACAACAAAGAGGGCGAAAGTGTGGCTGTAATTCATATGAGCACTAGTTAAAAGCTAAAGGCACAAAATCATTTTGAACTAGAAAAGATTCTTCGTCATCTGTGACACCGACCTGAGTTTGTCGTCCCAGATGAACTTCTTCCGAGGTCCCATGACCCTCTTCCCTGGTTTCTCCTCATCATCGTCTTCGGAGCCATTCTTCTCTCCTTCCCCAGACTGCTGCCTGCGATCACATCAAGAAAACACCACACGTCACATCACCTTTGTAAACAACGTGGACGGAAACATGTTGAAAAGCAGACAGACATAATTAAAATCAAGAGCCACTCGAGACGTGTTTTCTTACTTTGCCACTTTGGCGATACAGTCCATGTTGTATCGGGCAATCTGCTCCGGCATCACGCTGCACACTGCCAGCTTCAGCTTCAGCAGGGGCGTGCGAAGACGGTCATCCTGGTTGACAGGGATAAGCACAGTCAGAAATCACACACGCACACACACACAGGGGGGCAAACTGACATGCTAAATATAGAATCAGATAACGGGCGCACAGCCAGAAGACACATGAATGATTCAACTTCCACATGGAGACACACCTGACAGCTTCTGCCTGGATTCAACAAAGATTTGTGTCCTTATGTGTAATAAAAATAAAAACAACAATTCTAATTATGATGACTCCCTCTCACCTGTATGTTGAGGCTGAGCTTCTTAAGGCGTTTGAGCAGAGCTTCTTTATTGCAGGGCACAAAGGCCTCGAGGTGAGAGTAGACGGCTGCACGTATCTCTGCAGGCTGCTCCTGAACCTGCAGCTCAATACTGACACACACACACACACACACA